CATGTCGTAACAGCGAACCAAATTTATGTTGTCTGACGATTGGAGCTGCTGTACGCTCTACTACAGCGACCCGTTCAGTGTGGAAGCGTGTACACTGAGCACGGTTGCCATTTTGGGAATGAGAAAGTCACGTCACGTGAGAGAATGAGAAAGTCACGTGCATAATGTTCACACAAAAAAGTTGGCACACAGGACGCTTAGCCCTGGGCTAAGCGTTCGCGCACACTTCGTTAGCCCGTGCTAAGGGTCTAGACTGCGTTTTAAATTCGGATCAGATTTAACCCGTACTTAGCATTCCTTAGCCCGTGCTAAGCGTTCATGCACGTTTGCTTAGCACGGGCTAAGGAATTTGACCTCTTAGCCCGTGCTAAGGAGCTGTGCGTGAACGCAACTACTGTAGAATACTTTATTTTCGCTTGGAATTTATTTTCGCTATTTTCGCTGAAGGGATGATTCCGTGAAAATAAAATCCAGCGAATATATTTTTTTTCCTATATTTCACATTAAACTCATCAAAAATCAGTGAAAATAAATTCCACACAAAACACCCAAAAAGCCTTTTCAGCGAAAATTAATTCCAGCGAAAATAAAGTATTCCACAGTATTGTGTGTCAGATAGCTACTGATAACACATCCTAAAATTGCTTTGTCTTGAGTTAATCTTTGAAACTCATAGGCACACAGATTAAACCTGTGTTGTTGATTTTGGAAAACACTACTGACGCTGCCTTGCTTTCCTTCAGAAAATGAACATTTTAACCAACTTACATGACATTCTATGTTACGTTGACTTTATCATATGAAAGTTTATAGTGCATTTCATCAATTAATAAATAAATGTGAAAATCATAATTTTCAACACAAATAATAGTCTTGCTACCTTAATAAGGCACATGGTGCCCACCCATTAAAAACATGATTTTTGGAGCTTAGTTCCCTTTGGGCTAATTCGGACGACTATGGTATTTTTATTACATACATTGTACATGTACTTCACATTCAAGATATGTAAATTCACTCCAAAACAATCAAACTTATACATGTCATTAGATCCTTTACTGACTAACCAATCAGATATACAATTAACACTTTTCTTGTTATGGATTAACCAATCAGGAAGCTTTTATGATCAGCATTTAGTTTGGTATGCTGACTGCTAAAAAGAATTTTCTTGCATGAATGCTAATCTTGATTATCAAGCCATTGGCAATGATTTTGACATAATAAATAAGTAAATAGTAGTTTTAATGACACTTGCATTTTTCAGCTACCAATTAATGTAAGTACATTTTTTGTAAAGATTTGTTCTGATCACTTGTTTCTACTATTTAGAAAGCATCATACATTTTACATCAACTGAAAAAAGAACAAGTTTTTGTTCTATGTAACTTCTGAAGAATTTAAACTAACCACATAAAAATAAAATTGCTGACTTGATTGAGGTAAAAAATATTATTTACTCTGGAAATCAAGGTAAAGGAAGTACATTTTGCAGTTGTTTTTTAGTCCTTGTTATTCTGTTTTAAACTATATACTGTATACTGTATTTCCTCTATTAGTAGTGCATACATTTACGTAAACAGCAGACAATATTGCAGAATATAATAAAACACAATTTTTGGCTTATGTGTACTTCTATTAGAACAAATACAGTACTTGTTATGTCTTGCTTGATCGACTGAAACTCACCATACAGATCTGGTCCATGCTCACTGAATACATTGTATAACACAATATTCAAAGGCGCTATCACCAACTTGCCATAGAAATGAGAATCTGTCATAACGACAGGTATCTACAGAAAACATAAAACATGACTGAGGTTTATTCGATACTAACAAACATTTTCATAAAGGAGCCAACAAAAATCTTTTTCTACTGTAAAGTCATGTTTATGAATACTGCTGTTAATACTGCCAGCTGTCTTTCCACGGGCAACAATGACATCACGACTTGCTGACACCAGAAATCAACTGATTTTAATTTTACTGGATTTGATGTTGATAGGATATGGGTTTTAAATTCACTGGATTGGGAAGAAAAATACAGTCTGTCGTTAAAATTAGCGAAATGAGTGAAAATAAAAGCCAGGGAATAGTTACACAAGTAAGCTCTACACTGTACTCACCAATACAACGAGCAAAGCGAGAACACACCATTTAACGAACTGCACAATTTCTTTTCTTCTCAATACGAGGTCTATAGCTATTGGAATACTGCAAGAAATACAAAGTTGAATATTTCATAACACCATAAAAAATAAACACAATTCAAAACAATATTATTATAAAGCAGAACAGAAAACCAAACAAATTGACATTCATAAGTAAATCCTCATGTCCCATGTCTGTAGCAGTAAGGTGTCTATGTACATGAAGTTATTTAAACATACAAATACTGCTGTATTAGCCATATTTCCATCGATAATTTGAAAAATATATATTTGAAACATACCAAAATGTCAAAGTTTGAAAAAGATAATACATTATTATTGAGACCACAGGAATTAAATAACGATGATGACGACAAAAACAAGAACAAACTTCTACAACTATACCTTGCTTGCATTTTCTTACATGCATAGAAGTCAGGCATGTACAAGAAATGATGTTGACTGAACAAGCACACAGATAAACGTTCAAACAGTGATTAATAATTATGTTAATTATAAGGACTATTGTACATTTGTATATATTCATGAATTTAGAACTTACCCCAATGCACCCGCAAATGGCCAACCAATGATAGCGCTACTGGCTGTACTTAGGATGGCTAACTGAAATTAAATCCAGACACTGTCTTACTTATATGCATATTAATGAACCATTCAGCTAATAGTCACACTGATTTGATAACAGGTGATTTTTTTGCCAATGTAATGCAGTGTAATGTAATGTAAATCAGTGATTACTGGTACGTAATATCAATGGGAAATGGGCACCACTTGACCTCAAAATGTGAAAAGGTCGAGTCGTCATTTTCATTTTGTTTCTAATGTGCATAATCACCAAATTTATTTTGCCCCTAGTATAATTGGTAATACAACTACACATCATTTTTTATGTTCTGGCCAGTAGACAAAAGAAGGGCATCAAAGCAACACTGTAATTAGAACTTTACATGTGCACAGGAAAAGCTCACACAACAATGAATGTTTACATAAAAAGGAAACCTCATTTACAAAAATTCGAAATCTTATTCATTTCAACAAGCCTGGCAGAGTTTGATTGCACTTAGAACAAGTCTTTGCGGTTTATTAATTTCTTGCCATTTATATAAACAAGTGAATGTTGTGCAAGTGTAACTTACCGGAATGTTGTCCAAGTACCACGCTCCCATAGACAGTAATGTCATATACATTGAAAAACTACTAGGAAGATAGGCTGAAATGGGATAATACATAAATTGAGCTCAGTCAATACATGTA